ACACCATCACGGAGGGCGTTGGCATTAACCGCATGACGGCAAACTTTGGACATGCACAGGTGCACCCACAACTGGGATGAAGACTGATCAATGATGCGTGATTTGATGAAAAAATTAGAATTAAGTACCACAGCGCATCTGTAATTAATAATGTGTCTAATGGATGTTTTATGAACATTGTGGTGCACCATGTGGTGAAACGGAGCCCCATCAACAGCCTTTAGGGAAAATGTGGTACGAAAATATGCTGTGACGTACTAAGGCTTGTACCGCTTTTGCTAATGTACTGTTTCGTCGTGGTATGGTGGCCTTGTGTGATCTTTTTGCTTCGTGATTCCAGTCATCCCACCAGTCATCATGATCATTAAATTTACACGACAATGCAAGGAGGCATTGCTGCCAGTCACTGAGTCCCTTTTAACCAACATCCCCAATTCAGCCATAGTTGAAATTCATCTGTCATTCCAGTCCACCTGTGGTCGACCTCGCCTTGGCACTATTGCAAACAAAATTCATATGCGACCAAGTGTCACATGGTACCAAGTATTGCCTCGTTATGGGGTATTTCATGATGGTGATTGTGAGGAAAAAATAGAAGTTAATAGGTGACTTTGTGGTACATGGCGTTTCTGTGATGAAAAGATGGATATGATGAATATGGTGTGAAGGTAGTAAAGGTGAAATGTACATGGGGTAATGGAGACGCGCAATGAACGTGCTTGCAGTGGACGTTATTGACTCAGGTACACTCATCCTGCAATCCATCTAGTTATGGCTTGCTTCCTTTGCCTGGGCGTGACCATCTGTAAGAGAATGATTTCCAGCATAATGATGATGATTGCCAAGTATTGTAGTACTTTTAAATACTTGTAAACAAAGCAATGAACCTCGCACCATTTTATGCCAGAAAAATGTACCTCTATGCAGGTCAATGGCGCCGTGCGGTGCTCTGATAGGGAGGCCGTCGAGATGGCACAGCACCTCATCCGGAACGATGGCCTCTTTGTGGGTTCCTCGGCAGCGGTGAACTGCGTGGGGGCAGCAAAAGTGGCCCGGTCCCTGGGGCCCGGCAGCGTTGTCGTCACAATCCTGTGCGACGGGGGGCACAGGCACCTGAGCAAGTTTCACAGCCCGGCGTACTTGGCGGGCGTGGACCTGACTCCCCGGGCCACAGGCTCGGACTTGTCGTTCCTGGAGTGAAGTGGTCACCTCCGAAGGGATGTTTTCTTTGTTCATTGTTTGTTTCTCTTTGTGTATTTCATATCTCATCGTTCCCCTTTTGGCTTGTGGGGAAGTCTTGTCAGTAGCAAGTGGTGGCTGGGTGGGTGCTTATGCAAATCCTGAACAAAAACGAAAGAAAATGATGCAGAATATTTTCTTCCTGTCAAAAAAGGATGTGGGATGGAAAGTGTTCCTGGCTGGCATCTTAATGTGCTGCCCAGAGCGCTGGAATGGTGCGTTTTCTTTTCAGGATCAACAAACTCAAATGCTGAAATTATCAAATCATTGAATTATGAATATGTATAATGAAATTGTTCCCTTCTTGCCTTTGCCTTGCCTTGGTCCCATTGCATCCCTCCATCTTTATAATAATCATGTTCTAACTGTGCTTGTCTCTGAATCTTTGCACGAGTCGTAGTGAGGGCCGAGCCACATAGTTTCTTCTCTGCATTCAACTCCTGTGGGCCCCAACTAGATTGGGCAACATACCATGCCAGCCCTATTGTGTGCTCCACCATCTTGGGACAAAGGGTGTGTCACTTAGGTGTCACAATCCTTCCTGCCTTGGAGAAGGCCTGCTCAGATTGAGTGGAAGAAGCTTGTACACATAAGCGCGTTTGAGCAACGGGTACAATTGTGGGGAAATAATTCTGATTCAACCGCCGCCAATCACAGGCACCTTGTTCGAACAATTGTTTCTTATGGTAAGGGGGATGTGTCATTGTCCCTCTCCAATATTGAACAATGAAATGGTAATTGGGCAGGTCATGTAGTTCTTGGCCAAATAATGATCAAGGTGCTGTGAGTTCTTGTGCTGTCCTTATACGATCACAGAAAAATCTGTTCAATGTGGATATCATGTTGTCACTTGGATTCAAGTCCAATGCATAGGTGGTAGGAGAGGTGGCCCTTTTTGCATGGTGATGTAGCCCCCGGTTGTAGTGTGCAAGCATATGAGTCGTTTCCTCATTGGTTTTCTTTATCAATATATCCATGTCATCAAGACCCACTTGGGTTTTCCCTTGCCTTGCATACTTTTTTCCAGTCATTTGCATTGCTCCATACAACCTCCAACCAATCACTTGATACAAAGCGAGGGTCGAGGGATGATGCAAGTGCCCAATTGTAAAATTGGTTCTTGTCGTCTAGAAAGAAAATGAGCTTGGCCCTCACGGCACTCACAAAGGGTTTCATGGCTAGGTTATTGCCGACCTTTGGTAGCTTTTGTACAATACGTTCAGACATACCAACAACACTTGTGATATTGTTGCAAGTTCTTAAAACTCAAAATCTTGGAAGCGACTTTAAAATCTTTAATTAACTTTCACATTGCCTTCAATAACCCCCAAGTTTCCAGCTTAAACTCCACAATGAATCGTTCATCCTTCTCCTCTTCTTTATTCCGGAGGCCAGTAGTCTTGGTCTATTCCTTTGCTCAATGATACACTTTCTTGGGGTGTGCTCCAACAATGCTATAATGGGCTTTTGTAGCTAAAGTCCCCGATGCATTATTTGACATGTCGAATTCTAACATGTTTCGCTTGGAACACATAGCTTCAATTCTCATGGTGCATTTGATACTTGGTTTGATTCTGCTCTGTTGTCACATTTGTTTTCTAAGAGTCCACATCAAAAATGTCTTTCTTAGTGTCTTTGTCGCTGTCCACTTCTGAAATCACTGATCTCCATATTGCAATGTTGGCACTTGGCCTCAGCTTCGATGTCCCCTTGTGATAAGGTTGTTAGCTTGTTGGTTTGGGCTTCTCGGAATATATTCCACATCAAATTGGAATGCTTGCAGTTGAGCCCAAGCCGCCTCAATTGTCGTACTGCTGTCCGCACACGTTGTCTGCGCAACCTCCGTTTTCAATCCCTCATTGACTGATTTGTATAGCACATGGCAAGACAAAGATTCCAATCAAAACAATTATCCAAATCTACACCAGCTGCAATGTTCACCCCACAATCTGCCATTATACTCGGGCAATCAAATGGGCGTTTAGTATCATAATATTTGTTGGGATCAGACTGCACAATATCTTTATCCAACACCTCACCCGCGTGCATGTCCCTTGGTGTAATGTCTATCTTTGTCCTAGCATCCCTCAAGGTTGGGCTTATATTTTGTGCATTCCCTTTTCTTGGAAATGGCTCAATTGACAGAACCCACTAGAACATTTTCTAATCTTTGTTTATCCAATATGCGGTGTACGTCACATATGAGTCCCTTGCACCAGAAGACTATAAGTTTGTGGTTCAACTGATTTGTCTCTTCATGAATTTCTGTCAATCGCTCTGCCAATTCATGGTGTATGTTCTGTGCCAATTTGGTGATCCTTTGGCATAGGGTTGTCGTACCTATGCACAACAACTTGGGGTCTATTGTCCTCATGAACTTGATGAAACCCACTCGCTCGCCAGCCTTCAATGGCATATTGTTAATTGCAACCATTCTGACAAGGACATTTTACATTCCTATTTTGTGCAGAAGCTTTAGGTTGTGTCATTTGAAAGTGCTTGTGGATACCACCAGTTTTAAAGCCTTGATAGCCGTGTTGCTTGCCATATCCATAACTCCTGATTCCTTGATTTTGTCACTTAATTGGCTGAGTGTAGTTGCCTTGCGATAATTGATAATGTGCTTGTAGAGCATGCCCATGATGTGCTCCCTTGATACTCCTTGCTAAGGGAAAACTCCAATGAGCACAACTTGCATATGGCCTTTATATGATGGAAGTGCCTAATGTAGCGATACCCATCGTTGGGTATCTCTGGCAGCCGGTTCCTATATTCATCAGAGGGCGATTCCCTTGGGTGGGGGAGAGGCCCTATCACCCTCTTTGTTATTCTCTAACCCATAAAATAGCTTTGAAGCATTGATAGTGAATGCTTTTCTGATCCACATCATGTTAGCATGTTTACTTTTCCATTTGGTGATTATGGCCATTTTGGTGTAGGTCGCCCCTAAACAATAAAATATTTATAGACACCTATTAGTAACAAATGTTTGGAACAAATTCTGCATTGGGTATGATGTGTCTATTTCTATAGTAATATTTTAGATACTATATTTGGATTTTAGATATATGTTGCTCCCACCCCCAACCATAATTTGTCCTTAAATTTTTGGATTTAGCCTAGCTAGCTTAGCCCAATGTTTACATAAAGAGGGAGTCATTTTGGTCTCATTATTTACTAGATAGATGGTTCAATATCAATATTGCCTCCAACATACCATGCTTAACACAATTCACATTGGGTAATTTTAAATTACTAATTTTCAAATGACTTGTTTGTGGCACATCTTCACGCGCATCTCCACGTTGCTCATATACATAGTCATGGTGAATGTGTTAGTGGATCCCATTATCCCAATAACCCGACTCCTAAGTTATCTAGATAATACATAACAATTGTTTAATAAATTTTGTTAGATATGGGTATGAAGCATGTTGGACATTTGCTTGCATTGGCGTCTTTGATTTAGAGTGATTACTATCGCGTTTCTTGTGCTAGATAGAACCTTATTTTAGGGCTGATGACAATCAAATTTTGCCACGCCCATAAGTAATTATTCAATACAATCGGATTATTTCATTAATAACATCATTAAACGTATTGTGATGCAGCATAACTAATTTGGTTAAGCCAAGCCTACCATTGCAATTTGCAAACCAAAAGGCAAATTGCCTTAGGCAATGAATAGGGGGCCCTAGTCTAGGGCAACATAATGTTGCTTTAATATTTACCACTTCCTCCACAGTGTGGAGTCCATACAAGCGCGTCACTCTAGATGACAAGTCATAGTTGTGGCCTATTATGGGTGGCCCATAATTGCAAAGCCCCAATTCTTATTTATTCGTTAACAACATATTTTGTGCACAATCATGCTTTGTTCAAGAGTGCTTGTTCAATAGATGTTTATTGAATTATTAGATTTTTATCATTACTATTATTATATTATTGATGGGTGTTTATCTATTGATTATCTAATCAATATTTAATAATATAATAAATTGCAATAAATATTAATACAACCACTAATTGAGAGGCCAAGTTAATCCGAGCCCTTGTGCATGGCAAAGGGTCTCTTGACCAAAATGATGCATCTCCTTAATGAGCATCACAGCGATGATCGTACATATGGCTGCAATGCCAAAATTGAATGGCATATTATCCACCACAACCGTTTTTGCACTAACCCATAATGTAGGGGCCAACTTCCATGTTGTATTATTGGGACCCCAATTGACCATTGCCATGTCCACCTTGGATGCATGATGATGGTGTTTCCGTAGTGATAAAAGCAAACAAATTGTTTGAGACAATGAAGCAAAGGCAAGATCTGATATGTAGGCATTTTAGTATTGGAAATATTGGGTTTCTACATATTTGACTTGCTATTGCCGGGCCTAATCTATATATTTGGAATATTCTAGGCTGAAATTTTGGCTTCGGCTACTAGTTCACTTTGATTTGATGATGGTCCATCATTGATGGGCTTGCCACCAAAAGTACTTTCATTGTAGAGCAATCTTTCAGCCATAATAATGTTGGTGTTTGACAGCAAAAATCCCAAAGCAATGCCAATACTATTGAATATAATGTCAAAGCATTGGGTTGAACTAAAAACTTGCTTTTTGAAAATATGTAGCAACACAACAACAAACAATCAATGATGAACAGAGCGACAACACAATGAGCATTAACAACATGGTCTTGCAATAGAGGTAAAAGGGATTGGCATTAATATCAACATTGGATACCAATAATTAAGTCAACATATTATATTCATAAATTTAATTCAAAATAGTCATAATTAGTATGCACAACATATAACAATATTAGGATGATGTTGTGAGGGCCACAAAGATTGGTAAAGCTACAAAATAGTTTGCAATTAAACCTTGCTAGAAGATCTATTAGCAAATCACATTTGCAGCAATTTTACTAGATCCTTTAACTAAATCCTAATAGGA